TGTGAGGCACTGGGTTTGATTTTCAGCACCACATTAAAAAAAAGGAATAAATAAAATAATGGTATTGTGTCCATCAACAACCAATTTTTTAAAGTTAAAAAAAACAGAAAATCTATGAAAAATAGTAGATTTTTAGAGTATTATAGAGGATTTGGCTTGGGAAAAATATGAATTTGAGGTTCCTGGAGAGCACCCAGGTGAAGATACTGAGACATAATTGGGAATATGAGACTAATGGGAAGAGAAATCTGGAAATTGTATTTAAGAGTCAACAATGTAAACTTATTGGGAGAGGCCATAGGAATTGAAAATTTCAGGTGGTTTAGTACAATAAGAAGAGAAATACAGGGATAGAGCCTTAGGGTTCTCAGTATTTGGGATGAGATGAAATCTATAAAGATTAAGAAGGAGAAGCTTAAGAGGTGAGAAGGGAACCACAAAGAATGGAGTCATGTTTAAGGAGGAAAGATGGTGAGTTACCCTTCCTTTTATTGTGCTACCTCTGTCTTCATAGTATACAATGATATCCTAACAATCTTTCTAGAATAATCCTTGGCCCACTGTGGCCAGACCTTGGAAGCCTGTCCAGTCCTTAAAATATGAGAAATCCAATATATTATAAATGTGCAGAAGTGAAAATATTATGAAAGATGCTCTGACCTACACTGTGTCATTAACTATTTTTTTTCTTTTTTGTTAAGAAAATTGTTGAAAGTAACATGCTTAACAAAGTAAATTCCATCATAACTTATGGTTTCCTTTCCATGGGATAAATTATACATATTACAAGAAGGAGTAAATAACATAGAAAGTTGGAAAAATCCCTGTGAGAATTCACTTTTTGCCCAGAAAATATTTATTATTTTAGGTTTTTATTAGAAAAGCCAAAGGGACTTGATAAGTGTGCTGTCATTGGATTTCAACCAAAAAATCACCATTTTTTAATATTTATTTTTTAGGTATAGATGGACACAACACAATGCCTTTATTTTTATGTGGTGCTGAGGATTGAACCCGGGTCCCACCTGTGCTAGGCGAGCACTCTACTGCTGAGCCACAATTTCCCAGCCCCTTCCTCTTTTTTAAAAAATATTTTTTAGCTGTCAATGGACCTTTTATTTATTTATTCATTTATATGTGGTGCTGAGGATCGAACCCAGTGCCTCACACTTGCTAGGCAAGTGCTCTACCTCTGAGCCACAATTCCAGCTCAGAATACTTCCTCTTTTGAAGAGGTCAGGGAGTGTGGTGGATGCTGTCCAAATTTTCCTTCAGGAATAAAGGAAAGGTGCTGGGTGTGGTACTGCCAGCTGTCAGCTCTTTTAGGGATTGCCTTGGCTGAAAAGAACTGCCTCACCCAAAGTCACATCCTTCTAGGAGTCAGCCTGCATTTCATAACTAAATGACATTGAGCCTGGCCCTCTCCCCTTGACTTGGGACACCTCCAAATAGTCACCTCATCTTCAATGATTACCATGTGGTAGACTAAGTGAGATGTTGAACTTGAGTTGCTACCCAGTTTTTCTCTGTGCCCAATTCTGCATCCTTCTCATCCTTTCCCTTCAAAGGGATGATTTCAAGGGCTCACCCCAATAAATCTGTGTGCTAATCTCCTTCTCAGAGCCTGCTTTCCAGAGATCTCAATCTATACCAAGGCTGAACTCACAGAGCTTAAACATGGGATTTAGGCAAACCCTGTGCCCATTTTCATCCATTTGATCTCAGAAACTCAGGACAATTTGGTGATTGGATTAAAACAAAAACCAGACCACCTGAGTTGTTAAAATTTGGTTTTTAAATTTACCTACAATAAAATTTACATTTTTTATTTTATTTTTTGTTTTAATTAGTTACACATGACAGTACAATGATCTTGACATATCATACATTTGAATCAGATGGGGTATAATTTCTCATTTTTCTGAGTATACAGGTTGCAGAATCACATTGGTCATGCAGTCATGTATATACCCACAGCAATAATAAAGTCTATTTTATTCTGCTGTTCTTCCTTTCCCCTCTTTCCCTCCCCTCCCCTCCCATCACTTCTCTCTACCCAAACTAATGTGACACACTTCTTTTTTTTCTTTTCCTAACATAGTAATACATGCATTCTGTATAACGATGAGGGTCTCCTTCCATCTTCCATGCAATTCTCCTTCTCCCTCCCTTTCCCTCCCACCTCTCTTCCCTATCTAGAGGTAATCTTCTTCTCCTGCTCTTCCTCCCTACCCCATTGATATAAATACTCCATATATAAATGGAATCTTACAGACTTTGAACCTGGCTTCTTTCACACAGAGTAATGTATTTGTGATTCATTTATGTGGCTGTGTATATGAATAGTGAATTTCTGTTTATTACTGGGTAGTATTTCATTGTACTGATCACTACAGTTTTTTTTTTCATTCACCAGTGGAATCCCATTCAAGTTGCTCCCACTTTATAGCAATCATGACTGACACATCTATGAACATTTGCATATTGGATTATATATGAACACGAGTTTTGTTTCTTTGGGGTAAAAGTGTAGTAATGGAATTGATGGGTCATTCTGTAAGGGTATTTTTAATTTTACAAGAAACTGCCAAATTGCTGAACCAGCAATGCATGAGTGTTCCAGTTGTTTAACCACCTTGTCAGCAGCTGGTATTGTCAGTTTCTGTCAGCTATTGTAAAAGGTCTGTTAGTGGTATATTATCGTGGCTTCAGTTTGCATTTAACTGTTGGTATAGAGCTAGATGTTCATGTCTTTTTTTTAATTAATACTTTTTTTCTTTTTTTTTAAAGAGAGAGAATTTTTAATATTTATTTATTTTTTAGTTTTCAACAGATACAACATCTTTGTTTGTATGTGGTGCTGAGGATCGAACCCAGGCTGCATGCATGCCAGGTGAGCACGCTACCACTTGAGCCACATCCCCAGCCCAAGTTCATGTCTTTATAGGCATCATCCTATGTTTGGTACAGAATTGTTCAAATTGCTTACCAGTTTTTATACTGAGTTGTCCATTTCCTCATTGTTTCAAGAATTCTTTGTTCTAGGCACAAGTCCTTTGTCAGATGTTATGGTTTAGATGTGAGATGTCTCCCAAAAGCTCATGTGTGAGACAATGAAGGATTTTCAGAGGCAAAATGGATAGAGTATGAGAGTTATAACCTAATCAGTGGATTGATTGACTGGTGCTCTAGCTGGGTTGTAATTGTAGGCAGGTAGAATGTGGCTGGAGGAGGTGGGTCACTGGAGGTATGCCTTTGGAGATTCTATTTTGTATCTGGTGAGTGATGTTCTGTTTCCTGATTGCCATATCCAAGTTGCTTTCCTCTTCATGCCTTTCTGCTATGATGCTCTGCCTTACCTCAGGCCCAAAGTATAGGAGTTGGCCTTGAGACCTCTGAAAGCATGAGCTCCCAAATAAACTTTTTCTCCCTAAGATTATTCTTGTCAGGTCTTTTGGTTACAGCTACAAAAATAGCTGACTATAAGATCATATTTGTTATTTATAAGTAGTTTTCTACTAGCATATATCTTGCATGTTCATCCTCTTAAAAGCATCTTTTACAGAGCAAAGGCTTTTAATTTCCATGAAGTCCAATTTATCATTTTTACCTTTATGGATAGCACCTTTGATGTCATATCTAAGAATGATTTGCCTAACCTCAGGGCAGAAAGATTTTCTTCTAAAAGCTATACATTTCACATAAATCTGCCACCTCTTAGGTGAGTATGCAGAAAAGAAACTGTGGGGAGTAGTACTCGGTGAGATTGGTGGATAGCATTCTGAACAAGTGGCTGGAAAGGGGAGAGAACTGTGGACAGAAATCAAAGTGCTTGAGCCAGTTTTCTGTGTGTGTGTATGTTTTGTGGAACCAGGGCCTTTGTGCATGCTAGGCAAGTGTTCTACCACTGAGCTACATTCCCAATTGAGCCAGTTGTTTTAGAGGTGGAGTGACTTCCACCATATAAAAAGAAAAGAAAAGAGAAAAACAGATCTTTGGAGATGTTACTTTTCCAATTTGAACTACTTCCCCTGATGGAGATGAATAGATTTGATTTCTCTTTTCTCCTAACCTTTCAGCACCACCCAAGGAGGTGGGAGAAAGCTCTCCTTTCCTTGTTGATTATCCCACTACAAAAGAACAAAATTCAGCCTTTTTGATTCTCTTTTTAATTTTAGTAACTCTAAGTTTAATCTTCCTTTTGGATTTCCTGTCATTTTTTTTTCATGTATCCTTTAGTATGTTTCACTCCTTATGCGTTCTTTTAAACACCATCTCTTGGGAAAATTCACCATCCTAACACTCTCATCCTTTAAATGTCCCTTGCTTATATTTGGGATATAATGTGGCAACAACCCTACATCTCACAACCCCAGGAACTGTGTGGGCACTAAAAATTAATAACATTTTACAATTGAGTAAACTGAGCCTTGGAGTGTCTGTTAAATATGCAGGGACCTCGACTGGCAAAATCCTAAGGAACACAACATTTAGAATTTCACAAAGCCTAGATCTTAATCATTAAATGTGCTGTATGAGTGCAGTAGTGCCTCCAAATCCCTTGGACCACCATGCAATGTGCAGCCACCTATCTTTATTTTATCGTGGCGAGTGGCCTAGGACACAGAGGGCCAGGCTGGGGATATAAAACTGAAGAGGAGAGGAGTTCTCCGGGTGGGATCCATGTCCCGTCACTTGGCACTTTCTGTACACACAAGCCCCTCCCTTGACTGCAGTCAATTCCTTAAGACTTGACCTCATTACAGAAGGTTTAGGGAAAGGTCGGGCTTGGCTCAGTGAGCCCCAGCTGGCGTCCCCACCCGGCTGCAGCCCCGCCCAGATCTGGCAGAGCAATGGGCAAACTGTAGGGTAGAAAGGCGGGGAGAAGCTGTGGAGGTTAAAGGCGGGGCGGGCGGTTGCCAAGCCGGCCAATAGGCGGCTCTCCAGAGGCTGTGCTGAGAGGACAGGGGCGCCGTCACTAGCACCACCGCCTCCCAAGTTTCCCCTTGTGGATGCACCGCCTGGCTGCTCTGCTCCTCCCCGGGCACAGAGACCGGGAGAGACCAGAGGAGCGGACTCCAGACGGGATTTCAAAGAAGGTGCGAGAACCTGCTTCTGACCCGCTCTGGAGGTGGGGTTGGGGGTCGCTAAAAGATGAAAGGCCGCCGGCGGCGACGCCGAGAACACTGCAAGTTCGCGCTGCTGTTGGTGCTGTACACGCTGGTGCTGCTGCTCATCCCCTCGGTACTGGACGGCGGTCGCGACCAGGATAAGGGCGTCGGGCACTGCCCCGGCCTGCAGCGCAGCCTGGGAGTATGGAGTCTGGAGGCAGCGGCGGCTGGCGAACGTGAGCAAGGCGCTGAGGCGCAATCTGCCGCAGAAGGGGGCGCAGACCAGTTCCCCAAGACCCCAGGCAACCTCAGCTCCGTCGGGGAGACAGTGGCCCAGGAGAAACAACACATCTACGTGCACGCCACCTGGCGAACAGGCTCGTCCTTCCTGGGAGAGCTCTTTAACCAACACCCAGACGTTTTCTACTTGTACGAGCCCATGTGGCATTTGTGGCAGGCTCTCTATCCGGGCGACGCTGAAAGCCTGCAGGGTGCTCTTCGAGACATGCTGCGCTCGCTCTTCCGTTGTGACTTCTCAGTGCTGCAGCTGTATGCACCTCCTGGGGACCCCGCCGCAAGAGCCACGGACACAGCCAATCTCACTACAGCCGCCCTCTTCCGCTGGCGGACCAACAAGGTCATTTGCTCGCCTCCGCTGTGCCCCGGAGCGACCCGAACCCGAGCCGAGGTCGGCCTCGTGGAGGACTCCGCCTGTGAACGCAGCTGCCCACCCGTGGCACTACGCGCCCTGGAGGCCGAGTGCCGCAAGTATCCAGTGGTGGTCATCAAGGATGTGCGTCTGCTGGACCTGGGTGTGCTGGTGCCCCTGTTGCGTGACCCAGGTCTCAACTTGAAAGTGGTGCAACTTTTCCGCGACCCTCGGGCTGTGCACAACTCACGTCTCAAGTCCAGGCAGGGACTGCTGCGCGAGAGCATCCAGGTGTTGCGCACCCGCCAGAAAGGCGACCATTTTCACCGCGTGCTGCTAGCGCACGGCGTGGGCGCTCGTCCGGGGGGTCAGTCCCGCGCGCTGCCCGCCGCGCCGCGTGCAGATTTCTTCCTGACTGGTGCTCTTGAGGTGATCTGCGAGGCCTGGCTGCGCGACCTGCTTTTTGCACGCGGTGCTCCATCCTGGCTAAGGCGGCGCTACCTGAGGCTGCGCTATGAGGACCTGGTTAGGCAGCCTCGCACCCAGTTACGCCACCTGTTGCGCTTTGCCGGGCTGCGCGCGATAGCCGCGCTTGAGGCTTTTGCTCTCAACATGACTCGCGGAGCGGCTTATGGCACCGATCGGCCCTTCCACCTGTCGGCACGCGATGCTCGTGAGGCAGTGCACGCCTGGCGCGAGCGCCTGAGCCGAGAACAGGTGCGCCAAGTGGAGGCCGCCTGTGCTCCAGCCATGCGTCTGCTGGCCTACCCTAGCAGCGGAGAGGAGGGTGACGCGGAGTCACCCGGGGAAGAGGAAACCCCACTGGAGACTGAGGCTGTCGGGGCTACGTAGCCCCCGCCCTCGCCCCCGGAGCGGATCCGGGTAAGGTGGCTCTGGGCCGGGTAGGGTTCTAGAAAGGGTCTTCGGAGAGCCTGCGTCAGGCCTGCTGGAGAGGAGAGGGAAGAGGGCACTAGGAGATGGTGCTATCCTGAATACCATGCTATCAGATCAGGGCCAAAGGGATAGGAAATTTCTGCTTGTAGCATTTAGGAGATTGTATCGGTTCTCCAGCTTATGAGCCACCCACCTTCACAGAGGAGGACCCCGAGTTAAGAGAATGTTTCAGTGTTGCTGAGGCAGAACCCAGTTTTCTGCATTCCCAGTCCACTTTATGAAGTAGGAGGTATCTGAGGTCTGAGGACAGTAGAGAATGTCTGAAGTAGTGTAATGGAACATGAGGTTGGGAATTAATACCTAGACTATTAGGATTAAGGGAATCCTTTGAGGTGGATGGTTTTGAAGTTATCTCAATGCCAACTTGTCATGTGGGGCAACTTTTTGCCTTGAAGTGTTTGTTGGCACAAAGAAAGCCAAAAGCAAGTTTTGGTGGACCGGTATTGACTTCATAACCCTACCTAACCCAAATCATTGTTTAATATTTCTTCTCTTTCTCTCTTATGCTCAGGTTCCAGGGCTTTCCTCCTGAGTACCAAGCATGCAAAGCACAGTCCGGCGGGTCTTGCAACAGTTTTTGCAGATTTGTGTGTCTCAGGCCTTGGTATAATGGAATAGAATAAACTGCTTTCTCTTGGCTCATGTGTGCCCCTCCCCCTCCCCCTCACCCACCCTCTTCCCAGTCGCTAGTGTTTGCAGGATATTTGGCCATATCCCGTTTGTTGATCAGGTCACAAAGAATGCCTGGTCAGCTTCCTCTAGTACCGACAAGACTTCAGGACTGTGTTTCCCCCACTCCACCCCATCCGTTTGAGAGATGGGACCTTAGATGGGCAGTAGCAGCTTGTGAAAAGTCATCCCCTCTTTTTTTTGTTGTTCTTTCTCTGTAAAAGTGTATGTCTGAAGATGTTAAAGTGGGCCCTGAATGATCTCAGAATGTGTTCAGTGTTGGGGTCAACATATGGTGTGTAACACTGGGCAGAGGGAAGAATTTATTCTGCACGATATTGATGATGGGAGTCAAGTTAGTGGCATGGGAATGTATTTTCCCAAACTTTGTGTGAATTGGAAGAGTGCCACCTTGTGCACTGTGCAGACTACAGGAGGAAAAGCAATGCTGGGTGGACGGAAGTGACTAAAGTTTCCATTCATTATTTTATAGTGTAATTCAGTATTCCCCTGGGATGATGCTGGAGCAGGGGCAAAGGTTGAAGATGTTAATGAAGATGGGAGTTTGCTGTTGTTAATAGAGTTAAGGTTATAGAGTGATTTTGGAAACTGGCTAATCAAGAGGTTTTGCTGGTGAGTTTCTGTAATTGTTAGGAAGTCTGTGTTCTTTCCTGATTTCCAGAGCCAAGGAAGGTAAGGCATAGGGTGACTTGTCACATCTTAACAAAAACATCCTTTCATCTGCTAGGTCTGTATTTACACTTGGAACAAAATGGTCCCTAATCATCCTTCACAGGCCTCAGGGAACTCCTCCCCCAGGCTAATGCTGTGGCATTTTATGGTTTTAAGACATGACAATCTCCCAGAAACTTTTGCTCCCCCACCAACATTTTTACGAACATTTATTGAATGCCAGCTGGGGTGAGGAAATGAATAAAATGGAGAGCAGGGTAGAGAACATAGATTTTCCCCTCTAAGGAAGTGCAAGTCTGTGCAGGTGACACTAACTATGAGATAAGGTGTCCATGCTGCTGTTTAGAAGGCCAGTGAGGCTTCCTTTTTATGGGGCTGCAGGAACATATGGGTGGGAACTTTAGGCTCTTCCAGGTGTTGGTGACTGAGCCCTTCCTCCAGCATTGGGCACTTACTACCAACCAGGGGAAGTGTTAAAAAGGTTGTATTCCTTCCTAGGAAAAGTGTTACAGATCCATTAATGGAGTTTTTTAAAGTTTTTCATACTCTAGGGAAGGGAAGGAAAAAGAAGGGAATGAATTTTTATAAAAAGGGCTGTGTGCCCTTCATTGTGTTACACACTGTACATATATGGTTATTTATAACGGTTTCACAGATGAGGACTCAGAGAAGTAATTTCCAAGAAGTCACACTGGGGTAATGTGTAACTTACCCCAGGGTGGAACTTACCCTTGGCAGCAAACCTGGCACCCCACCTGGGCTTATAGGCTAGTTTGGGGTGCTAAATACCCTTGACTTTATTACTAATATGTCACAACCGTGAGCAAATAAAATATCCCTGAGCTGCCAACAGCACCTCCACAGAAAAGCTGATGGCTCTGTAGCTATCCTCTCCATCAGTCACTTGGCGCAGCAGTGAAGAGAGGCTGCATGTGAGTTAACCCAAGGATCTGCTGGGTGGTCCAGACCTAATAACCAAAATTTAGTAGGGAGGGAATAGATCAAATTTTCTCATAGCTAAGTGAGGACTGAAGCATCCAGAACCAAGTCACCAAGAACCCAAGCTCTTCCCATATTGTACATTTTCTTAGCTTATGTTCTCATTGTAACAAAATAGTAGCCACAGTGCCAAGTATCACATCCTCACCCAAATAACCCAAGGTTTGTAAAGTGCAGAAAGGAAAAAAGCTGGTTATCAGGTGGAGAGGTATTCCCTCATGCAATGCTCATTCATTTAATCTGGTTATAAAAACCTTTCGCAGAACCTCTTATCCTCACCAGCTTCCCTCTTGGCCAGAATTGGATCACATAGTCTGCCCCAGACCAATAATTGGCAAAAGGGAATGAGAGCATTTTGGCTGATTTAGATTAGCAGTCCTCAGCCCTGGCTGAAATTACAGTAGCCCCCTCTCCTTATCCTTGGGAGATATGTTGTAAGTCACCCCTCAAAGGATGTTTGAAACCTCCCATAGTGCCAAACCCTATATATTCTATAGTTTTTCTCTACACATACCTATGATAAAGTTTAATTTCTAAATTAGGCACAATGAGAGATAAACAACAATAGTTATTAATAAAATAGAGCAATTACAACAATATATCATAAGTTCTATGAATATAGTCTTTCTCAACTGTCATCAAGCAGGTAGTATATACAGTGTGTGTATGCTGGATGAAGCGATGATTTATGTCTTGGACAGGATTGAGCAGGACTGTGTGACATTTCATTATCAAAACAGCAAACTTACTAATTATTTCCAGGATTTTCTATAATATCTTGGGACTGTGGGCAACAAACCTCAGAAAATAAAGCTATGGTTAAGGGACTTCTTTTTTAAATTTTTTTTAGTTGTTGATAGACCTTTATTTTATTTATTTATATGCGATGCTGAGAATCAAACCCAGTGCTTCACACATGCCAGACAGGTGCACTACCACTGAACCACAACTGCAGCCCAACGGACTTCTTTTTAAAAATTCCAGCACCTGAGCTCCACCCCAGGAAATTTTTTGTTCTCCTTTATGTTTTGTGCTGGGAGTGGAACCCAGGGCCTCACACATACTAAGCAGGTCTCTTCCACTGAGCTATATTCCCAGTTCAGGAGATTCTAATTTAATTGTTTTTCTGTGAGTTCCCTAGACTGAGACATTGGGATGTTGTCAAAGTTCCCCAGGTGATTCTATTGTACAGCCAAATCTGAAAACCACTGGCTTGATCGGTCAATGATTCATCCCCCTGGGCCCAGCTGCTTGTACTAGAGCAAAATCAGAATGGGGAATCAGACTGTTGCTGAGCGGCAAACTGTCTGCCATGGTGATTTATATAAAAGATCTTGAAGCTGTGAAGTACCCCAGAAATGTGGGGTATTATTTTGAAAAGGTAAATTACACATGGGTCCGTTTATCACCTTTTCATATGCTTTCAAATATGTAGTTGTTTGTAGTTTCTCATCTAAGAGTCCATGATTGTATATACATTGGGCACTACTGTTGTAAACAGACTGATCTTTTATCCTGTCCTTTTCGGCATGTCTGCCTTTGACCTCTATCCTTGGTGGGACCCAAGCTTTCATTCCTATAAACATTTTATTTTATTGGTTCTGGAGTTGGAACTTTGCTACGTTAGCTATACCACTGAGGTTCCAGCCACAACACCCTACAGGCATTTAGAACACCTTGCTCTTTGTTCTTGACAATATGTCTCTCTCTCTCTCTCTCTCTCTCTCTCTCTCTCTCTCTCTCTCTCTCTCTCTCTGTGTGTGTGTGTGTGTATTGTTGAGGGCCTAGCTTTTGCTGAGGCTGGCTTTGAACTCAAGATCCTCCTGCTTCAACCTCCCAAGCTGCTGGGATTACAAGCATGCACTACTGCACCTGGCTGGGAAGCTATATTTCTAAGGCAATTATTCAAACAGAAAAAGAAATGACCAGCCACCACCAAATCCCTAACAATCCATCTGAAAGTTATTGCATTTTAATCAGGGGACCAAGCCACAAACATTCTATGTAAGCATATGCATAAATATCACTGAAAAGACAACCCATGGCTTAAACTCTGTTAAAGAATAGGCATTTTAAAAACATTTTTCCTCAGCTGGGGCTGGGGCTCAGTGGTAGTGCACTTGCCTGGCATGTGTGAGGCACTGGGTTCAATTCTCAGCACCACATATAAATAAATAAAATAGAGGTCTATTAACTACTAAAACATTTTAGAAAAACATTTTTCCTATATAGAATTTCTCATTCAACAAAATTTGCTGAGACTCTCAGTGGCAAATCAACCTGGGTGCTGTGCTCAAGTTAGAGGGCTGAAAGGATGATGATGGTGGTGATGGTTATGGGGGTGTGTGTACATTGATAGGTATCTGAGTGGCACTGCTGCAGTAGGGTGAGACTAGTTTTCTAAAGCACATCCAAGTCCAAGTCATTTTTGCCCCCTGGGAGCTCCACTGATCCAGACCTTCTTAGAGCTCCTGCATGGGCCCACCTTCCCTGGCAGGATCCCTCAGTTGATGGTGGATTTGGTGCTTAGGAAAAGTTGAAGATTCAAGTCTGGTGAGTGAGGCAGG